CACAAAACATTCTCAAGGAGTACCAGTGCAAGCGCAAACATCAACATAAACAATTACACAGATACTCAAGGGGGTTCAAAGCCCCTGGATGCACATCAAATGAGATATTTGCTTCTCATGATAGAGGATTACTATATCAAAAGACAATGTTTGGCCATACGATCAATTGGACACCAGGATCATCACAGGTCGCTCAAAATGCATCAGGCGACCAAAGACACATCATGGGGGTATTATTCTGTAGTGTTCACAATGGCAGTTTATCATATCAGCTACTCGTAAACTTGATTGGCTGAAGTTGCATACAAGATCTCGGGGTCTTATGTACAAACTGAGGCTAACTTGCAAACAGAACCAGAAGAGCATGGCAGCACTATTTGCTCAAATGAGTCTGTGGATACTTCAGAGAATATGTCAACAAACTCCATGCAACTTAAAGAGTTATTTCAAAAACCAGCAGGTGATTAATGAGCACCAAAAACGCAACAAGCTTGATAGAGAAAAATTCATAAGTGGAAGAGCCTTTAGGATTGTTGCTGAGGATATCAGTTGTTCAGGTGCTTACCAGAGCCAAATAGAAATCTATTCATTACGGTTGATGAATTTGTGTAACCATTTCAGTGTTGATAGTCGTTACAACGTTTGAAAAGTCAGTGCTGAACAGCATTGGAATTTGACATCTAAAGCTATGGAAGATGCACTTCCAAAATACTAATCAGTCTATTTTCTTGAAGTAGGATGGAGAAAGTTCATCGAATACTCTTCCTCTAAGTGTCAGTAAATCACTCCGTTCATTACTAGCTTTTATGGACTTAATTCAGTTGCTTTAAACTACGTTACAACGGAGATTAAGCAGAGAATCGTTAAGGAATAATCTTACATGATCCAGCAAAAAAGGTTACTAATCAGTCAAAAGACACCAGTGCACTGTCCCTCTCTATATCAAGGTGTTATAGTGTAGATTAAGATTTTCAAACTCTTCATAAGAAGCCGTATATCCTTGAAGCCATTTAACAACCAATCATTGTTCCAAAGTTTCGGGAAAGAGCACATGAACCAAAGTCTAAATATCAAATTGGTTGAAGATACAAATAGTCAATAGGTTACTCAGAAAGGCCCAGAATCAGGCAAGGTCGCTGTAAATACATATAAAGTTGTATTTTGTACATAATCTAACGCTGCAGTACACCTGACAAAAATACAATAAATAAATAAGTTAAACCATAGCTATCGCAATTAATTGGATTATTGGAACATAAGAAATAAGCCAAATTTAGAATGATAGACCATACAAAGATCAAGAATCTACAAAACACACAGATATCGCAAAGCAGGTACTGGCATACAACTATACTAAAAGGATGATGTAGTAAGATGGAGAGAGATTCATTACCGAATTTTGGTTCATATGATGAGTGACAAAATGCCTATTCCATAAATACCTATACCACTGAAGATAGAGAATAAAAAATCATAGAACTACATCTAATACGGAATTACATTCTGCCACAGTGCTCAAGTTTTACGCCTATGTCACCTGGCCAATGGGTGCTACCTTGACCCATTGAGCTATGTTGGTGTAACACTTGTTCACTCGAGGCTCAATAATTTGACAATATTGATCGACTGAGCTGGTTTGGACATATACTGTGCATGCCAATGCACAGTTTAACTAGGCGTGTCATGCCAAAGGTAGGTTGAAAAAGAGTTCAAGATGGCCAGACCAAGATGTTATACCAGTTGTGTTGGAAGGTGTAGACTACCTGGTTGGAGTCCTCGAGACAATAGGAATCAGTGGTTAACGACTCTTGGTGACATAGCTGAAAATCGATCACAATAGCCCAGATGTATTCACTCCTCGATATCTTCTAGAGCTTGAATATGCGCACTAACCTTCATCTTCGCATTGTTTACTCTCACACTACTTAATCTACTTTGATATCACTCTTTTTCTATCCACCTACTCCTTGCATATTATTGTGAAGGCTGGCAGGTTGAACCGTTGCACTTGTGTGCGAGTGTCTACGTTGATTTTATCTGTCTATCTATCTACTTGTCAAATAGATTATAGCATCTACAAATTGTATATATTCACGACTTATTGTCATGCACACAAGTGTAGTAGAGCTGGAAAAAAACAGGATGATGGGTAGGTAGCATGTATCAAAGTGAAAATGGATTCATCTATTGACGGTTTTTAAATTATAACATGTGAACTAAAGATGTTAAGTAGTATATGTGGGCTACAACTAATCAATCTGACCTCTGCACTCAGAAAGAGATATATCGTTTTTGCTTTCTTCTGATAGCATCATCGCTTTATTAATTACTGAATGACTGTTGATCAGCAAGCCTTAAGTTCTTCCAGTTTTTACATCAAATTAAGTAACCAACTAAGCTCTTCAACAACCCCTTGTTTTGTTTTACACTTCTGTCTTTTTGTAGTCCCCTTCCGTTTTCACACCTCCAGAATTTTCTACTTCATAGGATGCAAACCATCATTTTTGATTATTAATAATATATTTTTGGGTCTTCTTGGTAGGGCTGACATCATTTGAAGAAACAATGGAAACCTAGGAGCCCTGGACAGCTGTTTCGTCCTGGTATAGGACTTCTCAACAGTGTGAACCCACGACCTCGCCAGGGATCGAACCGAGGACCTCTAGGTTCCATGGCCATCACTTTACTGTTGAGTTACTAGGTTGCAGTCCAATGGTTCATATCTCCTACTTGTGTTCGATCCCGATTTGGGTCATGGATGCACACTGTTGAGGAGTCCCGTACTGGAACGAAACAGCTTTCCAGCGCTTTCAGGTTTCTAATGTTTCTTTAACTGATGTCAATTCATGATGAATACCAACTTGTCACCTTGTATTTTCTCGACTCACTATCTAATTGTTAATCCTGGATTTCGAAGCCTCATTTATTTCGAAGGATTTAAAGTATGTTATATTATTATCACTGCTACTAATATTTCATTTCAATTGTAGGCTGTTCTCAGGTGATGAAAGGGTATAAAATAAAATGAGCTCATTTTATGCTTCTGTAAATGTTTTTTTTCTTGCTTTATTCAAATACCTCTAAATAATTTAATATCCAATGATAGAATCTGCAGTGATCTGAACGAAGTCACTGTTATTACCGGTAGTGGAAACAGTATTTAATAGTAGGCAGACAGCTGACTGTGAGAAGAGGATTCAGAAACTCTGTAAACCGATCCAACACAAGCTTTTATGTACTAGATAACACTTATCTTGTGAGGGGGGCTAAGATACCACCCAGTTAACTAAAGGGTAGTAGGTAGGGTGGGATTCGGACCCGAGGCCCATAACTTGAGTTCAGTCTTTAAGCTAATGAGCCACAACTTCGGGAATCTACTGTAACAGCAACACTCGAAATGGGTCCAACTCATCTAGAACGTACTACTCACTACTGTTTTTATTCCAAAATTTGTATTTCATTAGTGCGCGAAGACTGAGAGTTGTAAACTCTTGTATAAAATGATCCTTTGGAGCGTGCTAGGTAGAAGATGCAGTAAGCTATCGACCTGAGAAGTCCCAATAAACAAGAGTGATGCCTAGAAGTTTGTGTACTAGGCTGTGGGCTACACTAAATACATGAGATCTTGAATTGACTTGGTTACGCAGATCGAAGTAGGTGGAGTGTGGAATTCAACTCGATTGGCGATAAATCATTATGAAAAACTCAGGCAATTAACCTGGGAGTTTTTTTGTCATCTGATATAGAATCCTCATAGATAAAATGAAATATACAAATCGTATGACACATACTGCTGACTGGAATAAGTAGCTACACACAAATGACGGAAACCTATGAGTCTGGGTAACTAGGTCGAGATGATTTACACTACTTGAATTCTGATCGGCAGCGTGATTGGGTGAACTGATAATACAAAGAATCACACCACGTATTTTCAAAATACAAAACTACACAAGGCTCCATTGCGATATTTCATCCTAGTTATCTTGGACAACTAAAACATTCCAAAAAACCAAAATATCACCTGCTCAACAATAAAACTCACTTAGAAATAAAACCTGTAGATTAAAACATCTTATTGATCCAATCAGGCAGAATAATTTAGTTTACCAAACACTTTGCAGTGATTGCGGGGTCGAATATATATGGTCAATTAGGCTATCTGAGAACAAAAACCCAGCTAAATAAAATTTGTTAGATTAGGAATCTACGGAAAAGCTCGACCATACCTATGCACGCCATTTACAACAACCACACAACAGGATGTGAAAGAGTGATAATCCTTAAAACTGACTTATTAGAACAGAAGGAGGGAGAGATTGGTAACTGAATCTTCGTTTATCCAATCAACACCAAATACATCCAACAACAGGAGTGACTCAACACCTGTTCTGGATAGATATATGGAAAAACCTACACAATCTATATCACGAAGAGGGCGAGGAAATTAAGACTATATAAACCACGTATCAAAAGTGTGGAGCTTTCTTGATATGACTATGGGCAAAGAATTATGTCCGAAAGACAGTCCAATACATAATATTGTTCCATTATATAATGACATCTAATAAATCAACTGAAATGAAATCATCATCCCATCAAAACTCTGAGTACAAAAGCGATAAGACATGTTATGCCGACTAAAGTGGGTGATTATAGATCACTCCGCTAATCAGAGCGACGCATTTCAAGTGTGGAGCACAGGATTTCAGCCAAAAGTTATTTCTCACTACTTACTTAATTTCTGTGGGACGATGAATCGGAAGTTTAGGGGGATGACTATCAACCAGCGGGTTAGGATTTCGAACCCTGTTCCACCTACAGAGGTTTAGGCAGACAAGTAGCATCACTGACCCTCACACAATAGGTATGGCTCATTGCCTACTGCATGTATGTGCACAAGATGGCTGAGTATGTTACATTTCGTCGTTCGTTCGACCTAACTGCTTTAACAAAGAATAAATGGTATTAAAAATTAAAAAATATGCCATAAATTTTACCTGAATTGAAACAGATTGTAAAGACTGATTAAAGTCATGTGATCCAATCGATGCATCGATCGAACCGAATGCAAATAAACCTGGCCAAACAGATGCAACACGTAAATTTGTCAATGGGATTAAACCACTATTAGTTAGGGATATTTGAATTGAACATATTTCCCCTTCGTAAAGTTGATTTGGAAATGAACTGAAAAATACCTTCAACGAGAGAAGAGAGAGTAAGCGAGTTAAGAAGAGAAGGATATAACACAAAGAGAACGTTTTGTTTGATATGATGAGGTCAAAATGGATTCTGAAAAAGACACAGATGCTCATAAGTCAGGCAAAATATTAAATGACATACTCTCTAATAGTTAAGGTGGTAGTGCCGATCTAACCGCTCAATGCTAAAATGAGATCAAATCACAAGACGGAAACACAACTGATATACATTTCACATTAATTACGTCAAAGTTCTAATGAAATTCTAATGAGAAGTCGTGACCTGTGCTACCAATCTAGTCATATGTGAGGTGGATACCCTCTGATAGCATAGAATGATGGTTGCGCTATACCACGAATTGACAGAAGTGGGGAAATACAGACTATGTGATTTCATCCACTGGTTGGTTGATAACGTGCTTACCCTGAAACCTGACGGGCCTGGATTCAACGCATCATGAATGTGAACTGCTGAGGAACTCCAGAACACGATGAAACAGCTGTCCAGATCTTCCAGGTTTTTGAAAAAACACCGTTTTTCAGACAATATTAGCATGGATAGCAGACATCTTGTGTGCATTTTTTGTTCAGTTGTTAGTGCAACATTTATACTCACATACCTGATCCAAAGAATTACCAGTAGGTAACCAAATAAATCGTGAATAACGAAGAAAAATGAGGAAGTGGGAGGAACAGCGTAAATTGAATGAGAATTTCCTTTGAAATTCCCTTCTGCATACAACAATGTAAACAAATTTATCGTACACGCTCATTTGATGACAACTTAAAAGTATGGAACTGGATTCCATGATTATTGGTTTGGTCATAGTAAGGCAGTGACAGTCACACAGTTGATATCTTTAAGACATCAGAAGTTAATTGTTAAACACATCACTGAAAGTCAGTCGTAATGACGCTGGTGTATCCACACTAAATCTTAGGCATTTCATTCTCAACATACATCTCTTTTCTATCGATTCATGTTGTGGTCTGTGCTACTGACAAGAATGTTTAAGTAGTATATGATAGCGTAGTGTCATCAATAGAAGTTATGCTAGAGCCGACAATCGACTAGTGAATGTACTAGCAGCAGAAACAAAGCACATTGGTTAGAAATATGTGAAGATAGAGAGGAAGAAGCTGAAGCAGACAGAATTTAGCTCGAAAAACTACACAAGTAGGCTTCGGACGAAAGAATATCTATCAAAGCTCATTCTCTCTTTGCATCATTTGAATGCTTTTGTTAGCTTTTCTCTATCTGTGACATTATAACACTTTATGATACGAAAGATTTTCTTCACCAAGGAGTGTTAGTTGACGAAAACTAGAACTAATTTATATCAACCAGTAATTGCTAGCAAGATCAACTGAAAGAATATTTGCCAGTGCATACACTTTTGAAAATTACTTGAACTATCACTTGAACCTCATATATTGCAAATGAATGCTACAAAGCAGTACCCAGCCATTTTCGGGATTACTAGTAGGCAATTGATAGAATGCAACAACCAACAAAACACCAACATATTCCAGTCGGTGGTTTTGAGTGGAATCAATTTGACTCTGAAAGCTAAACCATTAGTCAAGTGAAGGTAGTATTTCTGACGAACCGACATCGACTGGAGAACCATTGAAGAATTGGGGGCACTGAACAGTTATCTCGACCTAGTAAGAGGATCCTCAGCGCTCACAAACCCTGTGGGGTTCGGACCTAGGGCCACCAGGTTTCGCAGCGAGCATGTCAGCTATTCGGCCACTGAGTTGAAATCTAATCGACCAAATTTTGTTAATTCTATCAATTCACGATATAGCACGACAACCATTCAATGTCATCAATGAGTATTCATCCCCAAGTCCGACTTAATTGCCTCACAGGTCACTACTTCTTATTAGAATTTCGCAACATTGATCTCGAAACATGTTGCTAACGAGCACAGGAGAGTATTTCATTCTGGAGGTTTCCAGAGTGTAAGGACGAAGTGTAAGCAAAACCTGCTCCCGTGGAATTGATATTTTTGTTCAAAATTAGTGGGTTATTTTGTTGAAATCCATAGACTAACTGATGGGGCTGAACTGAAGTGTCCAACCATTTCTTACTGCCTCCATCATGCTTTGGAATTCATTAATTTTATAGTCATCACTAACCATCATGAAGATGGGAATCATTTTACATTCAAAAATGTTCAGTCCCTACCACACTAACCTGTGTTTACGCAGCTAGTTTTTAGGACAGCCCGAGCAAAATAAACACAGCTTAATACCTGGTGACAGGAATATGTACTTGGTTGTTGAGTTGCAAATTCTCGCTGAACATTATGCCTAGTGACTGCGTAGTAACTTCCCATCTCATATGGGGAGATATTTTTGTGCTTGGAAGGTGCGTCAGTTTACATCGGTTTTTAACCGATAAGACCCTTTCATGGGTAGAAAAATCTAATCCATCCCTAGCTAATTTTAAACAAACTGTGGTACTAGCGACATATTCAGGATCGACTGTATTGTGAAGTAATTCACAGCCAAGGACTTGAAGTTTAAAAATGAAACTTTGATGATCGAAAGTCCAGTTTCTTGGGAAGAATAGTACAATACTGATTTACACACTAATCAATGATCCTATCTTCCTAATAGACTCAATAAGTGAAACAGAGTTCAAACCTATAATCCACTAACCGATATTCAAGTGGGTGGAAGTCGTCTTCAACAAACATGTCAACTACATTGTTTCACCTGATACTGACACTACCAGTGAACAGGAATTCCTGGGTGGGCTTTTCAGCATTGTTATATGCATATATATAAAGCGAATCTGCACAAATAATAACAAAAACAACATTTTCAGTGACATCAAACAATGGAAAAGGAATTGAATTACTAAATGCCATTCCTTGATGTTTAAGTCAGTAGAACCGATGCAGGGAAATTGGAAACTGAAGTGAACAGAAAGTCAACAACCACTGATCAAATCCTCAACTACAGAAGAAACAACCCAACAACACAAAATTATTTGCGTTCAGACTCTATTCAAAAGAACAAAACCATACTGCAGTACAACAAATTCATGCGGAAACGAAAAAAAATTACGTCATATCTATCTCATTCATCAGCTGCAAAACCATCCACAGAAATAAACAAATGGATCATATATAAAGAACATTTCAGAGATCCCAACTAAGACCCCTTACAATTGGTGTGGCTCAAATCAACCAATTCCGTTCATACCATATTATGTAAACCGAAGAATGCAACATCCAAAGAAGGCAAACCAATTATCATTTACAAAATCAACTGCAACAACTGTCATCTAAACTACATTGGACAAAGTGGTCGCCCTCTTCGCCTTCAGTTACACGTACACCAATTGATTACTAAACATCACGACATATTCATCGCCCATTTCAATGCACGTGGATAATTATGCATATGAATTCAATTTTGAAAATATAGAAATCTTGGACAGAGAAAACAAAAAATATCAGAGAATTCCTAGGAGCTTCGCATTGGTGTCAGTCAGCAACCAATAAATGTATAGACATAGACTCAATCTATTAAACACTAAGGGAAATGACAAACAACTACAAGGTCGGAGGTCAGGCAGAGGAACAGTCGACAAGAAAATCTATGCAGTCAATGACATAATAATAATCAAAGGAAACAACCAGTCACAAACTAGTTCGTCAGGGGAAGTTACTGCAACACTCACGGAGAGATGTTGACAGCTCACTTCATGTTTAGGAAGTTAATGGTGATGACAATGAAAGCTTCACGATTAAACCACCTAGCTCATTGAATACAACACAACCAAGACAATTAAATACTCAAAAGATCAAAATGAGGAAAATAAAACTCTCAACACACTCATTGAAGAAAAACTGCTTACTTACTCTTAAAGCAGGAGCTGGTTGTGTCACTGACCAATCTAACGGTAATTTCGTGAACCGCTTATGCTTGTTATTATCATTATCATCACCATCAGGACAATTTTTATTGAATAGAATTTTACCTCTCACAGAATTACGTTCACCAATAGTAGAAAGACTTGTAGTAGATGATGTTGTATAATCAGTATTGGAAGGCGGCGGCGGCGGCAATGATGATGATAGCGGTATAGAATTATAATTTACCATCATTGTCTGTGATACAGTATCAATGGTTGAAAAACTTTTATCGACTGATAAACTGTTGTATATATGAGAGTTGGTCAACATTGGATTGGTTGTTGATGATGAGTAGGCATTAGGAATCGATCCATTTTGAGGTGTTAAATTAGCCAAATGATGTTGAAGAGTCTGATATTGACTGTTATCTGCAACAGCACTTTGATGAGCTGATAGATAACTCCATTCAAATCCTAAACCGGTTATAGTAATCTGACCCATTTGTTTAGCGATAAGACTTAATTGAAGCTAGAAAAAACAAAATTATTGATGGAGTTTTTAAGAAAAAATAAAACCAAATATAAACACACGGAAAACGGAGTACAACTTGGCAACCACATGCAGTGATTCATCATATATGTTGTATGGAGAGCGATAATATAGGAGCTGGTTGTCCAGACCTCAATAGCTGGGCGAAGTTCGACCACATGATCTATTGGTATAGAAGTTAAATACCTATACAAACAAGTTACAGTTCAAAGGAAATATATATGATTTTCTGATAAGCATGGCTAACATTCTAGAGCACAAACTTGTACATGATTAGTGAATAGTGAGCATGCCATTATTTGTATTCTTGTAAAGTTGACCTAATGACGTGAAAACTGACATGTACATAAGCGATCAAAATCATGATGCAAAGATACAACATTAAGAGCTTAATCGACTGTGGTACATCACAATAACATCGTAAAATGTTGATTTGACAGATTCATATGCAGTACTGATACTCGCATACATGAACTGAATAGTTAACACGGTCTCAGTAGTGTTAAACACCTGATTTTATATAGAGTGGATTATATACTGCATGATAATTGAGGGTAAAATGAAAAGCTGGGCCGCTGCAAGATTCGAACTAGCGACAACTAGGTCTCCGGTCAGGTTGCTCTACCAACTGAGTTATGAGACCCAAAATTTTCATTCCACCTTCAATCATCAACCATCATCAATACAGGTCTGCCAACACACGGCTACCTTAGGTATTCAAGGTGCTAATCAATATGATGTTCTTTCTCTTTAATCCAGGTAGATTTCAAATGGGATGAAAAGTCCTGACAGGACAGCCAGTGTGATAGTAACACATCACGAATTCACATAGGAGTCGTAAGGTGAAATCCTTGGTGATTGAAGTGAAATAAAAATTTGGTCAGCAGTTGGGTCTCATAGCTCAGTTGGTAGAGCATCGGGCCGGAAACCCGGTGGTCGCTGGTTCAAGTCTCGCCGGGGCTCAAATTTCCACGTAACTTTCAGTTATCATCATCACGTCTGCAGAACCACAGCTATCTCAGATGGTCAAAATGATAGTGAATCATAATACACAAAGTGAATCAGATCACTAGGTGAAAAAGAGAGAGAGATGCCATTTCAAAACTGATAAAAATTAACTGCCATAAACCGGATCATACGCAACCAGCGATAACTGCAAATATCAGGACTTAGATCAGCCGTAGTAAATTCAGATAATTTAAGCATTGGATACATGACTGACGAAAACATATTCATACGAAATAAATGGGGTAAAAAAACAGACAAACAAATGAATTAACGCACAAACTGGCACAAAAATACGCAGAAACAAAGAGCTGATGTTCCAACCAAGATTCAAACCCACATTACCCACTGCTGTAGTCAGATACGTTACCACTACGATATTCGGGTCGCGACTGATCTCCTATAGGTGTGGATCAAGCACACTGACTGCATAACCTCTAATGACCAACCAACGTACCTTCCGAACAATCTCATAACAGACTTACTTTTCAAGTCAGTTTATGTCAAATCGTAGGATGGGAGGACAAACAGAATAATTAAGAGAAGAGAGAATCTAATACAGCCAATGTCTAATAAAACGCTTGTTTAGTAGGATCTACAGTGTGTGTAAGTCAGATATAACGGATGATATCAAATTACTGACTAAAACACTTATGGAGAATGGATATCTGAATACTGAATAAATGATTACGTTACATCCCATTGTGTTTACCAGTTTACATGTTTATATGTGTCTGTCTGTTCACACACATAGACAGGAGTAATTCAGCTATGCAGTTGAAGATAGGAGAACATGTACTTAAATGACTTCAAAGAGGAAGGGAGTGTGAAACTTTGGTCAGTGATATAAGTGACAACCACCTTCATCTATGACTAAACATATCACAGAAACGGGTCACAAAATTAATGTTCAAACAGCTCTCAAAGATTTATATAGAAACAGTCAGGGACGCATACTGAGATCTGTGGAGTGATAGTCATACACACATTTTATGTGTAAAAAACTATTTGTTCTTACACTATACCTATCTTGGTAAACTTTGTTTTTTTCAAGTTGGTATTCATCATGGACTGACATCAGTTAGAGGAACATTTGACAAACAGTCAGAGATGCAGCAGACTGTTGACACATATTAATCTGATTACCCCCAGATCCCTGCAACCCAATTCTATTCTAATTCTCATTTGCGTTCATGTAGGCAGTGGTTCAGCATTCGTAGTACACTTCCTCCAAGCATTCACTTGATCAGGAGCAATGAAGATGATAATTAGAAATATCAAGGTCAAGTTCTAACTTAAGAGAGTCGATAAACATATGTAAGAAGATAGGTTTCTTGTGTTAATGTCTCAGTGTCACCTGAATGTACATAACATTACAAGACATTCATTTACACAAAGAATTCATATGTACTAACAAATGGTAATCAGTTCAGTAGAATGAAAGAATAACAGTAAAATTAAAAAGTCCAAATAACACCTGAAATCAGAAAGAAAAGAAATGACCTTTGAGATACAGTACAAACCCAGTATATTATTAGTCTAAAGTTTAAGGTAATAAATGCTATAAGTTTAAATTTTAGTGAGAAGACCTATGAATACTCGGATGCAAGAGCATATAGACAGTGAATTCTAAGAAAGACGAATACACTCCACTATCAGAACAAGTACTTTCACGTAACTGTTTGATAATATATAAAAAAGGAATAATTGGGTCATAAGGCATTTAAAATTCTATGTTATTATATACCAACACAAATGTTAATATCAACAAAGATTTTGGTATCTTAAGTGACATATGTGTTTAAGTTGGTCATTGGCGATGAGGCAAAAGTGGTTCAAAGGATTAGGCGCTTAACGAGTCAGTAATTATCAATATAAACTTGGCATCACTATGTTACGGTTCAAGTTGATACACATTAGCATATAAAGGTACAAGATGGAAAACAGAGAAGAAAAAATGCACTCGAAAATAATGACAAGAGTAAGAGAGAGAATAAAGGGAAAGTGATATAATGGTTATAATGAGGCATATGAACCATTACGATAGATTATAAGTCATATCAGGTAATATCTTCAACCTTCAGTTTCGATTATCACGAGGACCCTAAACGCAGTCTACATTTCACTATATGTTTAGACCAACGGTCAGAAACTTCAAGAACTTATGCTGTATATAAGTGATGCGCTGAGGTTGACGACGATCGGCCATAAACATTCCATGTCCCAGTCACCCAATCAACGGGTGTTTACAACCTATCAAATAACTTTTCCATTTTATCTAAGACTCTAAAACTAACCTGTAAATAAGTAATCTGTTGCTTCTATGCTAAGCAGCCGATACTTACAAAGCAACGATCATCAAATACCTGAAGCCTTCCTATGTTCTCCACCTTTAATGATTATTTTCGCGGCCATAGAGTAGAACAGGGCAAAATAGTGTGCAGTTAACTCAACCTAAATTAGGCCATTGGATATCTCTCCGACACTAAAATCAACATATCTTTGTGTAGTTGCAGAGATATCATCAGTAACTGACTCAAATTAGTTGATCCGACTCTTCAGGCAGGTAAATTGGTCAACATGAGTAGTTCGAAATCTACATTTCAAGGAGCAAAATGCTAATGGTTACGATGAACAACATACATACACAAACATCACCGATAAGTACATTCTGATTCTTACCAGCTGTTCAATTGTGAACAGGCCGGTTATATGCTTAAGCTCATTCGTATAAACAGTTGACTTCCAACCAATGGATTCACAGATTCTGCTCCAACCGAAGTTTGAGCGGCTAAATAGTATCATTATCTGTCAGACAAAAGGTGTGGTCTATAACATGAAAGCAAATGTAGTTGATGAATGAATTTCAAATATACACACATGGTTATCAGATATTTATAATCAAATTGGTCATCAGAAAGTAACCAATTTCGTCTAGTCGCAAGTGTTGACTGAATTCCACTGATCAGGTTGGCAATACGATCATCACGATGCACTTTTAATTGATGGTTGGAAGGAATCAGCAGGAACCCACAGACATAGGTCTCGTTCTTGTTCCTTCGAGACTCGAGATTCGCCTTGCTGAGGGTTAAAAAGTATGAAACCTAACATGTTCACAGTTTGGACGAAGATATGACCTGGATACATGTAAGCCAGTGTCATCGCTTTTGTTTTATAAGACTTTATTTAGGGTGAATGTTTAGCTGTCTACGGAATCTGGACACCTATTAGATCACTAGTCGTCAGTCCGCCAGTAGGAATATGAAAGTAAACAATGTGGCGTACCTATCCAAGTTACTACACCTCATATCGGAAAATCGGGATAAAAGACAGTAACACGAAACATAGAGAAATTAGACGGTAAGTAAAAAATGTCATCGAAGAGAAGGGCAAAACAATTACGAAAGGAGATACGATGATTAAGACAAAGACGTATAGATGGATCTTTTCTATTGCGGTTGACTCTGAACCATATGACCTACAGATCTCAACCATCGACTTCAGTTATCACCTGGACCTCAACAGAGAAGTCTAAATTTTCCAACATGGCTGAGACAAACAGTTAGTCACGAAAAGTAATTTGTAAAAATGCACTGATACTGTGATATTATCCAGTTTATAGAGAAGCAAGGCGTAGGCAACGAAAACCTCTCTTATCTATGCCTATCCACATACTTATTTGGAGCTAGTGTTGAAAGTCTGAATAAATAAGGTTGGACAAATCAGTTACAGTGAGTGTGCACTACTGAAGAATCTCATTCCGGGACGAAAAAGCTGTCCATTGCTCTCAGATTTTAGCAAGCTTTCCAACTCACATTTTTCCGTTCTCCAGGCAACATGATAAATTCATTAAGAACTTGACTGGCAACATATTGATTGACCAGTTGCTGTTGTTGTAACTGTATCTGTTGGTGATTAAGATGACTGGAAGAATAAACTATTTCATTTGTTATATTAAATAACTGATCTTTATTTACACTACTGGACATTTGATGAAGTGGAAAGCATGAACATTTGAATGTGATTGCAGATTTTGTTGAGTAGAATTATCACTGGCATCAATTATGTGCAGTGATGGGGATGATGATCGCGGTGATGAGGATATTGTTGAAGGTGAATTCATTAACTTGAATGTCCATAGTAGGCATACATTGGTGAAGACCAATGGTATACGCATAGGATTGATGAGTGTCATTTGAACAGTTAAATGTTCTATAAACAGAATAATAATAAAAGTAATTGTTTTAATTAACAAATGATGTGTGAAAAAGGATATCATCAAGCAATAACAATAACGAAAATTATTCCTTATATAGGTTCACCAATATCAACTAATCATATAGATATACATGTATATCGTATTGTTAAAACTGAGTCACATTTGATCGCCTCCATCACAGTCAAGAGTGAGTCGAATATCCAATGTCTATGTCAACGATTATTGGGGTTAACCTAAACAATAACCTTAGGCTTCACCCATAAGGGTAGCTCGATTCCTCGAAAATAGAAAAAAGCGACAAAGACGATGTCTCATTGTCAAGTCGAACATGTTCAAAGAGTAACGGATCATATATGTTTCCGATGCTCTTGGTATGTTCTACACTTTTCTAAGAACCCTTTAGGCTACTTGCGACTCACATGTATGATCACGTGGTTTTTTACGAATGGTCGGCACACCATGACTAGTTTTGAGGGCTTTGCCGGGAACCAAGCCTGTTTGGGAATCTAAGGCGTACTGCTGACTCACTCTATAACACTTCTCCATCCAAGATGATAAAAAAGTCAGTATTATATCCCTTTTCGTGGTAGTTTATTGATATTAGGGCAGCTTTCACCACACGTTGACATTAGTGAATTTTACTACAGAACAGGTTGAGTAGTTAGAAACCACTCGGGTTGATCTTTAAATTTCGCCAGCCAGATCAGAATGATCTAAGCATCGGATGGACGTTTCGCTCGTCAGGGGTCTAAATCATCAGCAATGTACTCATAAATAATTTGGATATGTGAGATGAAATTGTTCGGATACGTCACTACGCTTGGCCCGAACCTGATGAAATAGCCATCTGGTGTTTACATCACTCTGATCTGGCAGGCGATATCTATAGATCAGCCTGACTGCTTTCCAACTACTCAATTTGTTCATTAGTAGCATACTTCGCTAGTGCATGACACACTGTGATCTTAGCTGGATGGTTTCCCAACAGGAATCCTGTTGAAACCAGAGTTGGGCAGTTGAAAAACTACTCAGCATTGAGAAATGTCAACTTGCACCATGCAGTTCGCAAAATAACTTGCCAAGTCAAAAGTGAGGCGTTGGATGATGGTTGCGCTATACAGCGAATCGACAAGTAGAGAAAGAGGACCTATGGATTCCAAACACTAACTGAATGATAACGCGTTTGCGACGACAACTGATAGTTTTGGACGTTGTCCGTCATGTTGTTGTTGGAGGTGTACAGCTACGAAGTCCAAAACAAGCAAGGAAGTTTTCAATTGCTCTTAGGCTTTCAATAATTCATCGATTAAGATCAGTCTATGGTATAAATATATAAGTTGTAGAAAAACACTTACCCCGACAGGTATTGTAGGTACTTGTTTCAATTTGGATCTCGATGTGAAAATAATTTTATCTCGTTTAAATGGTAACGATGAAGATCCACCTTTTTTTGATTGAAAATCTGTCTGTAAGGATGTCTGCGAGAGAATATACTCTAATCTTTGACATATCATACTATGTGCTGATAAAATTCGTTTATGTGTTGTACTGCAATCATCTTCATCCTTTAAAAACGGATTATTCTTACTAAAATTATCAAGATCCCCAGTATTTTCAACGCTGGTATCATTATCATCCAGTGAGCTTTCTTCACTACTGCTAATGTCCGTTGCTTCCATCCAATTAGAATATTGGCTAGTGAAGTGTTGAAATTGTAAATCATTGAAAGGATCTGTATGGTCCTCCATTCAGTATGTTCCGAGGATTCCTCATCTCTGCTACCCTCACTTTCTTCTTCTTCCTCTTCTTCTGTATCCGAAAACTGTACACCACGAGCTTCAACGAAGAGATCTGTTATTCAGATTGAGTGGAATCAGAAAGAAAGCGGAAAATTAAAGAAGGAAGAAAAATTATTTTACTCAAGCAAAAACCATAGAAAAAGGTACTAAGATGCAAATAATTTGTTTCACTTATCTTCGGTTAGATGATATGCGAATTTCATCCACTGACGAAATATCAATTCCTTCAAAACTGAACAATACCAACAGACACCGAGTCTAAGCAAGTTCGGGACTACATTTCGATTGCCTTTAACCACTTAGCCTGAAAACAAACTGCACCGTTGAGTCGTATTGCCTGCTGGTCACACTTCAGACTTAATCAATAGAATCTAGTTAGTTGAATGTTCACAGCACTGATTGATGCATACACAAACATGGGTACTAATTAATTATACTATTCGAAAGCAAATGGAGAAAGGAGATTACGCAAGTTGTCCAATGACTAAAATAATAAGAATAATGAATGTAATAAGTAAGGAGAAAAATGACTGCTGCACAGCTAAGCAATACATGCTCACACACAGCTTTTAAGTTGAGCATAAAGACACTTAACGGTCAAGAAACTAAGCTGTGATTCATTGACTTAGGAACTCGAATCCTTCGATCCTGCAGTACCGGAACCAAAATTATTCGAATTCGAGCCGAAATGCACTCACTAACCATGTGCACGTTCACGCAGTAGGCAATAAGCTACATCTATCGTGTACCACGGCTAATGATACTATCTAGCTATCCACACCTCAATGGATGGAAAAAGGATCAAACCTGTATCCCGTTGATTGAAAGTCATCTCCCTAAACTAATGATCCACAGCTCCACTAGCTCATTCCAACTACCTAGTTGTAAGGAAAATGGATAAACTCGCCTAGTTTGCTAGTTCACTAGCCGGTCCTAAGCCCACATAAAGAGGGAAGGTTGGGATATAGGGCTGGCAACCCTACACCGGAAAACCAATCTAATCGCTAAAGAAACTTCAAAGCACAAACAAAATATAAAAAATAATAAACTTATTCGTCGCTGGAATCAGGAAGACGGAATGACGCCAGTATGTGACAGCCTTCGAGAAGCCAATTGGCCGATAGGTCATCTGTCCCTCAATGAAAGCGAAAGTAAACATGGGGACACGGAATGTCCGCACCATGTTTGAACCTACCAAGGCTGCTCAGATTGAAAACGAGATGAGAAGGTATAATACTGAAGTGCTAGGAATCTGCAGGTGGAATGGAAGTAGACTCTCCAAACTCTTAACTGGAGTCACTAATCTACTCCGATAGTGTCACCCAGACGACAACCACGAGCACATTGACTTTTCGAGTGTCTATCATGATGTCACCAAAAGCATCGAAGCCTCCCATGCAGTGGGAGGCGATCTCCTCCAGGATTATGACAGCAAGATTCAACTCAAAAGGAAGGAAAGTCACAATCACATAATGCTATGCAACTACAAATAATGGCGATCAAGAGAAGGAGGAATTCTACAGACAACTGCAATCAGTAATGGACAAGACCTCAGCTAAGATAGCGACATCAAAATTTTAATACGTGGCATGAATGACTAACTGAGAGCAGACATGCGTCGAGAAGCACTCGGTGAGGTGATGAACGAGAATGGAGAATTGTTTGCAGATTTCTGCGCATTCAACGATTTGGTGATTGGAGGTAGTGTGTACAAAAATAAGGATATTAACATAGATTTCACCAAATAGACACACTAAAAATCAGATTGACTCCATTTCAATCTCAAGAAAGTAGAGATGCAGCCTACTGCAGTAGATGTGGGTTCAGACCATTGCCTAGCGCAGGGAACCTTCAAAATCAAGTTGAAAGCTTTCAAAGAAGCTGGTGATGATAGACCACAGTTCAAGTTCAACACCCAGAAACTGAAGGACGAAACTACAAAGGACATCTTCACGTCAGCCACCAGGAAAAAGTGGGAAACATTAAACAATATCCCCGAAAAAGACAGGAGTAAGACAAGGTGACCGCCTACTATCACCGATTATCTTCCTGATTGTGGTCGACTGGACTCGACTGGATCATGAGACAGACAACTGTGAGGAACGAGAAGAGGGGCATACGCTGTTTGATGGATAAAAACACCCTAAAGTATTTGGATTTCGCCGACCATCATTTATTCATGTCTAATGTCTTCTCGCACAAACTCGAAGATCTACAGGCGAAAACAACAAGTTGGTGGAAGAGTCAGGGCAGCTAAGATAGGATATCAAGCGAAAGCAGATAAGATAGAGGTGATGAAGGTACCCAAACAACAACAACAAGCACCAATCACCATCAACGGGGGAAATCTAAAGGATGTTGTCTCTTTCACCTACCACCTAGGCACCATCATTCCAAGTACACGCAGCGGAGGCACTGATGACGACTTCAAAGCCAGAATCGGAAAAGCAAGACATTCCTTCCTGCATTAACCTGAAATCAGTATAGAGATCTACTGTACTCAGCATAAGGCGTGAACAACATCCGGATTTTTAACACCAATGTCAGTCAGGTCAGTGCTTCCACATGATGGTTTAGAGACTTGGCCCGTCACAAAAATCATTTCCAACAAACTGAAGACATACATCAACAACTGCCTACGCTCACTCGAAACTGAAGATTAGATAACCAGAAAGAATAAGCATCAACGAACTCTGGCTGGCTGGCTGGCAACCAACCAACCAACCAACAACCTATTGTCTAACAAATATGCAGAAGAAAGTGGAGATGGGTTGGGCATACACTGAGAAAACCATTCAGGGATATCACGCGCCAGGCCAGATCCTCGAGTGGAATCCAAAGGGAAAATGACGAGTTTGGCGTCCCAGCTGAGAATGACATGGAGGAGATGGTGTGAGGAAGAAAAGAAAGCTTGTGGGCAGTCGTGTAGCCAGGTTCAAGGGACTGTAGAGAAGAGAGTGAAATGGAGACATGCTACTGAAGCCCTATGTTACACTAGGAACCCAAGGGAAAAATAATAGGTCATAATAATAGTCTTGGTACGAAGACAAAGTCTACCACAATAGGTGTAGTGTAAAAACGAATTGTTTTTTTACGCATAAAAAGGTGGCTTCAATTTGTG